ATAATTTGGATAAGTTTCAAACCAATAACTCTGTATATGTCATTGTTAGCAGAAGGAATGACCACCTTCATATACCTTCAACACATTTATCATCCTATCAGAGAGGGGTGTATTATTCAGGCGTCAAGATATTTAATACTCTGCCATCAAATATCACAGTTTAAAAAAATGAGAAAAAGCAATTTAGGTTCGTTTTACGAAATTATTTGAAAAGTAACGCATTTCACTCTATTGATGAATTTGTTGAGCATGTAAGTGGCTCAAAAGTTAATAAATGATCTGTGTGCATGAATTATACAGTGTTGAGACTTGCTTGTTATAAGTATGTATGTTGTCTGTTTTTTGTTATGAATTTTAATATATTATAATGTAACTGCTTGAATGATATGGCTTGCCAGTGTGTGTGTGGAATGGCAAGGTGTGAATTTGATTGTGGTTTTTCCATGACCTATGTTTGTTGTCCTGACAACTTGAGCTATTCTGTCTGAGGCTTGATTTTATATTTTATTGGACCAAGGACGAATGATGTGTAGTCATCATCAATTTGTAGTATGGGACATGTTTTATATCCAGCTCTACAGGGAGATGATTGGATCCATTAAATGAAGAACAAATGTAAATGTAAATGTAAATGTAAATGTAAATGCTAGCTATAACTTAAACGTGGGAGAGCCAAGAACCCAAGCCAAGCTGATTATATATCAAGTTGCTGTCAAAAGTGCCATTGAATCTTTAAGGGCTAAAATCATGCAGCAAATCTGTATCATTGGGAAACATAATTTCTGGTAGACTCCCACATTTTGAACTGGACCAATAAGACCTATTTCAAGGAGGAGCTTCCTCTTGGAAGTTTGGTCTTGAAAAAGCTCTCTACTTTGGAGGGCTCATTTACCAAACATAGTCAGTTTCCAACTTTTGAAGTTTGTAGATGCAAACCTGCATCACACCATCACACTCACAACTTGTTCATTGTTAAAATCTGTAAAAGTTTCACTTAGTAAAGTAAAAGAGAAATTACTAGAAGCCTCCAATAATACAAATAACCATAATATTAAGGAGTGATTCCTTAAGCAAGTGAAAGTAACTGAATTGCCATTATAACTCAAAGTGAACAAGAAATAATATCTTGAGTGAAACTGTGATGGTGTTAGTGCAAATTTGGTAGCATAAGTTTTTCCTGCTCTGCTGGAGCAAGGCATGTTATGAGCTGAGACTAGAGCTAACCTCTGCCTGTAACTAAGCATACTGGCCAACCCAGATAACTAACCTGAACAGACGCTTTCCCAATCATAAGCTACACACATATACTTACAGGCACCTAAACGGAAACCCTCCTACCGAATTCATCCCCATTCAACAACAAAGAGTGGAAAGCAGACAGAGCAACTACCACAGAGGGATCTGTAGCACAATAAGGTGTCATCAGCAATAGGAGTGGTTATGCTTTTTTTTTTCAGTACACAAGATCTTAGTTTTATGCTTAATCGTTGAATTCTTGAATTGTTTAAACTAAAGTATCTATTAAGAGGGAAATAATGTTACTCTAATTAAGACGGATCTGTGGATGGTGAACAAAGAGTGACCAGGCCATGCATTTCTATGCTTATAGTGTTTGAGTTATCTTCATTATATTCATGATATGAAAGTAGTAATGATTTCATATTTTTAGTTTCATTAACAAACGCTTTTCTTTTCAGGTTAACATATAACCATAAATGGTGTTTAATGAAGCTATGTTAAATTTGATCTGTTTTATGCTTATACAATAGACGAATTTCTTTTTATATCAAACAGAAATGGAAACTTACTACTTGTATATTAAACCTGATGTTCTTTCTTATAAACAACAAAGAATTTAAGCAGCAATGTTCTATGTTCTATCACTACTTCCATTTCCTGTATGAAAAAGTGAAAGGAAATCATGAGTATACATATATATAACCTTGAGAATAAAAATCAATAAAAATAATGAGTTGAAATAATAATGTATTAGATCCGAGGTACTCATGGCAGTGAATATTAAGATCATAATCTTCAGGAATGTGACGCCCTTTAGTTTGGTATATAGGTTCTTCCAAAATGTTGGTACCGATGCACTAAACTATATGGTGTCACATTCCAGAAGTACATGAGCTATAAATAATATTGACTACTGATTTCTGAAGCACCATCAGGACAAAAATTTGAGGCTTTCTAACGTTGACAGGTGAAGCCAATTTATAATTTCTAAAGGCACTGGAAAGAGTACTGAAACTGCTTTGTCATTATGTTTGCACCAGTAAGTCCCAGCTTGTAAGTGGCAAAGTCAACTGAGAACAATATCCTATGATGACACATATGTTTAAAAAATTTGTTAACACACATTATTTTTCAAGAAAATGCCAGTAAGTGTTTATAAAATAAACAGTGATGTTCTTCATGTCAAGAAAGAAAAATTCCAACATTCATTACCACCCTAATTCAAATGATATATTTTACAATTGTAAAATGCATAATTGTGCAAGTAATATGACAAAATTCTTGTGGAACAAGATACAGTTCATTCAAAAATGGGTAATTCAGTAAGGAAATCAATTGGTTTAGTTTGTATTATTTAGGAGCCAGAACAAGCTCCATTGTTTCCCAGTCTTCTGTCTTTGATTGTTTACATAACTGTGCTACATACTGTTGTATGAAAGGAAGATTTTAGTATCTTCATGTCTTCACCTTTGCTCAACTTTGTGTATATGTCATTCAATTGTAGTAAGATTCTGAAACAGCAGGGTTCATTTCTGAACCAGATGACTGTTCTGGTCATGAAAGCATTCTTGACACTGGCAGTTAAAGGAATCAGAAAAATAAAAAACTTAAATATTTTGTCTGATTTGTAATGGAGACACACCCCACCAAAACATTCACTCCATTTAACAAACTGTGGTTGTTGTCTTGGGTTAGTGCTATCTTTTCTATCCATACTTACTAGCAATTTTAATTTATATACACAGTAGATTTTAGGCAAAATAATACCAACATTTTAAATTCAAACATTCAGAAACCAATTAGCTGTTTCAAATTCTTAAGATGGTATTATCTAGTTTTCATGTCCCTCAAAAGATGTATCAAATGCTATTTGACAATAGACTATGCAGAATTAACAATACTTGGTATGATATCCTAATGAATATGCGACACTGAAGCTGGTCAAATTGCACAGAACACATACTTCAGACACTGACATTTTTGATACTATTGTTGTGTGGTACAATTTCAAGAAAGGCAAAAAATTATGCTCTTTCTTGTTGTGCTCTCAGTCTTTAAACTATAAGTAAGTTACTGGTATATTAAACACATTCAAATTGTTCCAGCTTCAGTGATGTGTTATCTGAATCTAATCCAGAGGCAGCTGGCAGTATAGGGAAAACAGCACAAATCTACAGTCATTTTTCATCATCTGTAGCAGCTGCTACTGAAGTAGCATGAAACTGACATCATCAACTTAGGGATACAAATGAGGAATAACTCATGACAAGAGAATTCTACAGAGAAAGGCAAAATGTTACTGTTCATATGCATCTCGCTGTCAATTCTGATTATGTGATATACCGAATGAATGAATGAGTGAAACACGGTATAAACTTTTACAATATTTTATGAAATCACAACAAAATGAAGTTATGGAATATTATTTATATAATATATAAATATTATTTATATGTATGCTTTTACAGTAAATATGTGTTACATGTGGAACATGCAGAACATTAGTTAGTGTGATATAGTATAAAAATATAATTTTGTTATAAAAGAATTATTAAATACATACTCAGAAAAACTTTGCTGAGTATAGAATAATGTTATTCAGTTTTAAAAGTTAAAATAAGTGCATGGACCATGCACTTAATTAGCAAGAAATATTTTCTGTTATATAATTTCAGCCTTTTAAGGATAGAATGAACCCATGTACATTAATATTGCCTGTTTTAATTTTTTAAATAGATACAGATTATTAGATGTGGAAGTATGCACAGTTAATTCTGTTCCAATAAACTATTAATATATATTTTAAGGACTGCATGCAGCCCTTTATAAATTCTGTTTGGCACTTGGATCTTCAGGAAAATATTATGTTCTTTTCCTCTGATAACAGTAAAATGAGAGGGCATATTTATGTGTTTTATTTTTAAGTTTTTCCCATTTCACAGTTCAATCCTCAATTCTTCAATGTGACTCACATGTATGTAATTTGTAGGGCCACTGTTGAAGACATAATTATTTGACATCACCAGAAGGGAACATATCCACAGCATGGATTTATACTTTTTTGCTGATGTGGCATAATTTGGCTAAATTTTAATTTTATATGTAAACAACAAACAGATCCTGAAACATATTTCTTCACATCAATTGGTATCAAATAGTCTTCATTCTTTGCAGATATCACTTTTGCTGTGTATTCATGTGTTTTTATTATTTTCTCCAGAACTCCTTTCTTAAATAACAGAAAAACCTGATAGATTCCAAATACTTACTATGCAAGCCGTCTACAATTTTAGTAGCTTTATACAATGGAATACTTAAAACTACCAAATGCAGAAATTTGTTTTTTATATCAGGAAATTAAAGTAACATTATACATTGCAGCTATACAAGTCAAGGATTTACAGTTCACTTACTGTGAATGTATCACTATTTCATAATTTCATCTGATTATTGAAAGTGGCTTGACCATAAGTACACTTATTTTCGTTTGAGGGAAAATAACCTTAACCAGCATACACATCAATTTTCATATTTCTTCTACATTCATAATTTTTACACTATTTGTTCATATCACTTACTAAATATTAAATTATGTAATAAGACAGAATGACATCAATACAGCCCACTACAAAGGCTGAAGTTTAAAAGAAGCCAAATGTTATAATAAACGTGGAAATCTGAGAAACAATCATATATAGAGAGAATTCAGAAATAAAACTGTAATATACCAACTTCAGGTTTTATTCTGCTCTTCTAACATAGGTGACTGAACTGAAAACATGTATACTTGAAAGAAACAAGTCTATTCTGCAAGTTCACACAGAGTTGATTTCAGATACCTAACTTATTACATATTTGAAAACTATATATGCTGTTGGCAAATGTTGAAACTATAAGTTTCATTAATCAAATTTATATATACAGAGAGAAAATTCCATTCTTGCAATTGAAGTTTTGTAAGTGGTTTCATTGGTGACAATTTCTATTTCTTACATCTATAATCATCTACTTTCTTCTTTGATCTCCCTTCTCATGATAAATATATGTGCCTAAGAACCCTTCATTGATGATTGTCAGTTTCTAATGACATTTGAGTAGATATTAATATAATGTTCTTGTTCATAATTCACTATTCCAAATCAATTAATTAAATTTGTTTCAGTTTTTCCTAAGATCACTTGACTGTTTCTGATTTTATATGAGCCCTGACATCACGTGAACCAAAAAACCCAAGTATTTTCAGAGTGTCAGTGGTCCGCATAACTAGCTTTTCTTTAAATTTCCAAATAGTTGTGTCCACAACACTATTCTGGCGGAATTCAACGCAAGACTTCTTCAATGTTCGAACACAGTCAGCCCGATAGTGCTGCAATTGCGCATCTGTTGTTTCAATGGCATATGATGAACAGGCTCCACCTAGACAGGCTAATGGGAAGTGATTGTGTAATGTTAGGGCTCGCTCTGGATTATGGAAACACTTCACATACTGATTAGGTTTTGTAAAGTTCTTGCTGCGGTATACATGTTGTAACATATGCATGTAGCGTGGAATATCTTTGAACCAGCCATGAACTTCAATCAAATCATCTAAGAAATAAACATTTCGCACATTATACGAGGCTTGAGTGTCATTCTTCGTGCCCCGTGCCTTCGGCAGGACAGTATCCATCAGCTCTTGCCATGACATTGTATTAACAGGCATTATTACTTCATCAATATCCAGAAGTGCGATATATTCATATGTGTATAAGTTTTTATAGAGGCAATCATTATAAGGAATAAGTTCATTTTGACGCTTGTTATTCCATTTCTTTACAAGGTACATGTGCTGAAATCCAGGAACATTAGGCTGTCCACCAGGAAGTGTGAGAGGTGTCACATCCACACGATCCAGCTTCTGGTAGTATTGCAGAACTTTAGAAATATTAGGGTGAACTTGAAGCTCATAGAAAAACACTTTATCTGCACCTAGTATACCCAGAAGTTCTATCCATTCCACCAAGCGAACAGAGAGGTCTTCATGAAGGAAGTCCAAGCCCTTTACACAGACAGCAAACTTTTTCTTCTTTTCAGGCTTGTTGTATACAACACGGAGATTGTTTGTTGCTGTATCACAAGGCTTCTCAACAATGGAAACAGAGGCTGGGACAATTTTATGATACTGATGTGGAATCTGACAAGCAATAAGGTAAGGCTGATATATTCCCTGCTTGTAATTTCCCCATTTGCGATACCATATATATTTATATTCCATCACTTTCATGAAAACAGGTTCTTTCTGGGATTCAAACCAAAACTGGCAGTAGGTCTTTACTGTAGGTTCAATCCGATTGATCATTCCTAGTATCCTAACAGCTGGACCTATTTTGCTGGATTTTCGGACATCATAATAAGCACCAAAGAGCTGAAATGAGCCATTAGTTGTATGGAGATTTTGCCAGTAAATATTATTGAACTCAAGGTCATAGATACTGGGAAATTTCGCACAACTTTCATTCTTATAGAACATGGGTCTATCCTTATGACGGTTCCAGTATGCAATAGGTAGGCTAGGGAGTTTCTTTTGAACTTCCTCCACTATCATTGCTTCAGAAAGGCTTGGTGACTTGTCAATGCTGGGTTCAAGGTTCAACAAGAGATGTGCAGCAGACAAAGGTGACTGGCTAGTGCTGGCAGTTGCTTCCGTGTGAGGTGTTCGAGGATCGCCCAATTTTTGCAGCAGGAGACGGCTGTTGACTGAATTGCTCATTGATCCTGCGTTCGGGCCCTCTACTTCATGGCTCCGCAGGTGAAACACGGCCAACACAATAAGTCCCCAAAGGATCACCCAGCACAACATGCGGTAGAGGCACCTTGAACCAAAAACTGCCATTCTTCCTGCAAATATATGAGAAAGGTAATTAGCAAATTTACAGTTAATAGGTTATAATATGGAGTTAGATGGGAGGTTTTCTGACCTTCCATCTACAGAGCTAAAATGAGCCAGAAAATTGACATTCCAAGATGTCTATGCTCCATTATTACACTGTTTATGAAAATATATTACATTATATGGATGTTCTTTAACATTAGACATCCATAGCTGCAGATTAAAAATATTAAATAAATAAAAATCTGAACAACATCTAATCAATGCAACAGCTCACAAACACAAGGAATCTCGGAGGCACCAAAAAGATAATTTGACTTTATTCTTCTTGGCCTTTTCAAAAGTTAGATTTTCAGTATTGTTTACATCACCATTTCATTTCAGTATTTCCTTGAAATAAAGGTTTCTGAATGAAATTTAAGTACCAGTATAATAAAAGAAAAAAATGTGTGCATGTGTCCTGCATTACAAGTTGCACACTTCTACATTTTTTTTCATAAAATTTTAGGTTCTTTAGATGGTTATTTAAATCTAATTGATGGAACTCCACTGAACTTTGAAAGATTTGATATTATTAAACAACAAATAACTTAAATTAAACATAAAAACACCATGTGATGTCACGTAGACTCGTATAAGTTAACCAACGTTTGAGAGCAATCTTCTGCTTTCCTTGGAGCTCTTTAAGTAGCTGCTAGGCCGCGCCATAGCTCAAGCTGTTACCCTCACTTCCCACCGCGGCGGCCCGGGTTCGATCCCGGGTCTGCTCAAGTGGGATTTGTGGTGGACAAAGTGGCGCTGGGGCGGGTTTTCTCCGAGTACTTCGGTTTCACCTGTCAATCTTCATTCCACCAAATTCTCCATCATCATAATCACCTGGGGCAGGCTACAATAGGCCAATCAGTGGCCGCCATGCCGAGTGGACCCAGTTGGACTCCACCCCACTAAGCGAATTAAAAAAAAAGTAGTTGCTACCTCCTTACACCCCCACCCATTCTGCCTAACTGCCTATAGGTGCTCTGTAAGGACCAGCACTATTTTCTCTTCAACCTGCTTCTACTGGCCTTCTCTGGACTCTTTTCCAGCCCTATATCTGAAAGAAGTTTTCTTTCCTTGCTGCTTCGTTTCTTGGTGGTTACTTGCTTGACTCACCCTTGGACCCTAAAGATAGAAGGATTACGTGCCTCCGAAACGTCGGTAAATTTCTACCGAACTACAAGGCGTCAAAGATCAGACGGCATTCTTCACCGTCGAAGTGGCTTCTAATAAATATGATAATTAAAGTATGCTGCGGGAACAAGGAAGCCCTGAGGGCTAATAACACCGTTATTTTACCACAACGCTATTCTCCGTAGGGTTCAATAATTAAGCGAACTCTTACACATATCATTCTGCACCATCAATTCAAGGCATGCCCGCCAAGCGGCGTTCCGTCAAACCAGCTGCTTTTCCATAATTTGCATGGGGAGGAAACGAAACTTGTACCAACTGGAGAATGAAATCTCATTGATGTACCTAGGGCTCTTAGGCCAATACATTTGATAAATTAGAGAACGGCATCTAATCAATGTAGCCTAGAAATTTCAACCAATCATCTTTATAAGACTGGAGTTTCTCGCTGTGGCGACGTGGAGTTCGGAAATTCACACCGATGTTTCGGGGGAACGTCGGTGAACATCTGTCGAACTGCATGGGATTATATACCAGAAGTATCCCTAATTTCATGGAGTGTCTTCTGGCCAGGCGCCAAATGCCATGTATAAACAAGTTCAGTGGTCCTGCCACCTCTACACAAATAGTGGACATAGGCTATACTACCTCTAGAAGACTAGTCAACGTGTCACTCACTAGTTTCTTAACCTTAAAGAAACACTCATGGAAATCGAGGCCGGAGACTAAATTAATATTCAGTCGTAATACTGATATATTACTCATAATTAACCCACCTAAGAATATGCGTCAATTAAGTAGATGGGGCACAGGTGAAAAGGCATTCGCCTGGGGAAAAACATTTTACAACCCGCATTTTCGGTATTTAATTCTTGGTGACTGCATCTCCGAATAACGTATTATTAATTATGACTAAGTTGTGAGCAGGTTGAGCTGTTTCAAACTGAACAGGTTCGGGAATGTGGCCATCGAAAATTCACCTGGGGCAGCATTTAGGCTTGTGCCAGCCTTGCATTAAATTTCTGTAGATTTTCTGACTCACTGCATCTTAGTCCGTCTGTGACCCAGACATTTGTTAAGTGAATGCCCTGAGGGAGCACGTGAAACGAAGTACCGGCGGTAGCCTAACAACACTACAGCCAATTCTCCCATAACAGAGGTGGACAAGGATTGCTCAGTGACTCTCAGCGACAAGATGACAAGCAGCAGTGGAAGGCTGTGGTCTGCCATGTCTTTCAGATTCACTCAAACAAGAGTGTACCAACTTATAAACCGACCCCGACGATGTGCGTGTGGCCGAAACATGAAGTACTTACAGTGTATACAAGTTGTGACAGTGTAAACGGCCACACAGCCATGTAGATATGAAACGAAATTTGCAATACTGGAATATACGAGTAAACGAGTAACTAACTCAGTGGAGCTGACCTCTTCTTGAGAAGTCGCCAGTTGTGCCGCTCCTAACATTTTATGGAATCCGAAGGCTCATTATCGTGTTCACAAGAGGCCTCCACTGGCCCCTACACTGAGCCAGGTCAATCCAGTCTATACCATCCCATCCTACGACTGAAATAGAAAAAAAAAATGTTCTTGTGCTTAACTAATTAAGAACTATGCCATGAAGACGTATGGGAGAGTATAGATCCACGTTTTCTTGACCTCGGCACTAGTATGAGGTAAGTGGTCAGCTTCACGCCCCAGCCACTTTACCTGCGGGGAAAGAGACCCCGGTACCAATAAATAGGAGGTTGGGTTGGCCCCAGAGCCGGTCTGAACGAGATGGATAAGTGAAAATTCTTAACCCTAACGGGACTCGAAGTCCGACCCCTTGGTCGTCCAGCCCGTAGCCAGTCGCTATACCGACTGTGCTATCGCGGCTCTTATCTATGACTGGAATATAATAACAAATTAATTCGATTTTATTTCTAGGTATAACAGAAGGGATGATATAAGGTTCTAAAATGAATGATAGCAAGCATTTCCAGAATTTATTCTGACTTTAATTTCTTCATGAATGTTTTATTGAATTGTTACTGCCGTTTCAAAATTTGTGAAATAGACATGTTTTCGAATGATTTTTAGACATCTTTATATTACAATTTTGTTCTGCGCTCTGGTGAAGCATCTTGAAATAATAATTACTGTTGTCTGTGCTTATGCATAGCCAGTTCTCCTCACTAGTGCCTAATAGTCTCTGTCTCTCTCTTTGTGGAATCTATTTCTTCGTTCAATACATTAAGATAATCAGCGCAATTCAAAATCTGACTAACCCATTTAAATTCACATCCTCGTAATTTTCTTGGACTTCCCTAACGGCATATTCTAAAGCGAAGCTGAAATCAGTTATGATAAAAGCAGCTCTTTCTTTGAAACCGTTATCAGCAAGTTACACACCAGGAAATGTCTGAGTATACGAGCTTTATCGCAAGCCTAGATTTCGTTTAAAATCGCTTTACTAGCATAACTAGTTTAGTCTTTTCTCTCTCCTCTCACTCCCACTTCGGAGCATAAGGCTGATTTCTCAGTTTCATGATAATTTTACAGATAGTAGGACTCCTTGGACGGGTGATCAGCTCGTCGCAAGGCCTCTACCTAAACACAGGACAACACAAACACAGAATAAACGCATACACACACCAAACTTGTATGTCTTCTGTGGGACTCGAACCCACGATCCCGGCTTCCGAGCGCGCTAAGACAGTATCAGCCTTAGACCGCTCGACTACCGTGACCGGTACTAGTTTCGTTGGGTATACCAAATTCGATGAGAGTACTTTCCTCAGAACTGAGTCAAACACTTTCCCGAGATACTGAAATCTGGGGTAAGAGCTAAAGTTGTCCCTGTGCGGAAATAATTAAGAACCACTCCATGAAGACTTATTGGGAGTGGAGGTATTGCTCCATCATTCTTGACCTCAGCACTAGATGGAAGTGCGTAGACCGATTCATGCCTCAGTCGCTTTACCTCGGGGGAAAGAATTCACAGTACCCACTGTGTAGGAGGCTGTGTGGGTCCAACGGCCAGTCTGGACGATGTGGAGTAGAGAAAAATCTCTTGCCTCTGCCAGGAATCGAACTGTGGTGGTTCAGCTTGCTCTTATTTATTTTTCCGGTACCCGACAAGTACAGAATTGTTCACATTGACTACATATAACAATTTCAGCTACTTGTCAAATAAGAACTGATTTCTTTATTTGTTTCCTGACGTTTCAAATGTAGTGAATGATTAACGAGCTATTTCAAACAGTCTGACATGAAATTATGAAGGAAGAGTTAGAAAATCTCTGGAAGGAAGCATTTATCACCTTTTCGTATTGTAACTATATAGTCACTTTAGTGGAGGGAATGCAGAAAATCACGGAATACGTGTACCTGTATGCGGTAACCAATCAAGATTTGAATCGATTGCCTCCGAAACGTGAAACAGAACGTCGTAACCACTACAATACAGAGCTTGATTTGTGCTCCTATTCAATTGGTTACTGTGTGGTGGACTCACCACATATATTTTGCAATTACCCTATTCTCTAACCTGTTGCACTAATTGCCTGAACGCTATTATTCTGAATATGGAATGGTACCCATTGTCCTATACTATGCAAAGGGATATGAAATATGCCATATTTTTTTCTACAATCTACATCAACAACTAAACTACTGTAGAAGGTTTTGTAATCGCACCATGCAGGAACCTCAGCAATGTTGTTGATTTACATTCTTAATTAAAATGTACGTGTACTACAAGTAAACGAACCGTATTATTGTTAACGAAAGATGAATCACAATTGACCCTAGCACCAGCAGACGCCAAGAACGACATCTGGTCTTTCTGAGGGAC